TCAGAAGCTGGAACTTCCTTACGCTCCCAGGTGAGTAGCCTTCAGCTGTGGGTAGAGGTACTTGGGTAACTACCTGAAGCAGGAAAGAGAGACTTAATGAATTCGTAGTGGTCAAACGCTTTGATATTTTAGGAAGGAAGGCATTGCAACAGTGTAAAGCATTCATATCCAGGATCTATTGCATCAGGAACTCAATTAAAAAGCAATTCAAAGTAGGGCATGGCGGTGCATATCTGTAATCCCAGCACTCTGGAGACGGCCAGGAAAGTCAGAGTTTAAGGTTAGTTTCTTACATAGTGAGGCCCTATCTCAAAAAAATTAAAAACAGAAAAATACAATTTCTCATCTGAGTGTGAGGGTCCAGACCACCATTTTGCTGAATGTGACTGGCATTCTGGAGATCCAGCTGAGACTGATTTTGAAATAATCACCTCTTCCACTTCTCTTTCTTCCCCATCTGAGACTGACAAAATTTGAGTGATGGGATATAAAGGCAGAGTGCATGACTGAAATAACTTTCTTTGATTTTCTGAAAGCTGATTTTTCAGGCAAAATTTGCTGTTGAGTTAATATTTATCACTTGAAAATAAAGAACATTTTAGCAACAAATTAATTTCACCACAGTCTCCTAAAATGGCTGCTGAGTTTTCAAATACTGGATTACTGATAACCCCAGCAGGGGAATTCTAAGCCACCAAGCATGATGCCTGCATTAGTTAGTGTAAGCATCATGAATGATGAGACCAAATGAACAGAGAAGGCAAGATCTCAGGTCAAGATGTGCACTGCACGAGGCAATACTGCACGTTGCAGACATCTCCCGGGACTCAAGAGGATATAATCTTGCCCCCAGGTTACTTGGATTTAAGTCTGTGTAAGGGTGAGAAGGCCTGCGTTAGTTACTGAAATCCATCCAGACCAGCTGAGTTATATCTTTATCAGAATAGCACTAGCAATTCAAAGGGATGGGTTTCTGTTTACTAGTATGAGAAATATAGTCACTAGACACTAGGGAAGGCAACCTAGGCAACACTGGGATGCACCACATAATACAGTCAATAAACTTCAAAAAACCCCTTGTGGTTTAGGGGATTGAACCCAAGGCCTCATGCTTGCTAAACAAGTGCTCTTGCCACTGAGCTAGATCCCCAACCCAATAGTCAATATAGTCTTAAAATGGCTAAATTGTGTTTACAACCACTGATTCCAGACCTCCTTTACTTCTCCTAACATAACAGTAGTGCAACACTCATGCACACACACATCAAACACTGCTACAAAGAAGTCTGTGCCCGGGAGGTAATGCAACCATGAACAAGGTTGTCAAGCCTGCTACCTTTAGAGCTCTCCCATTCTACTGGAAGAATGAATGAATGAATGAATGAATAAGCAATTTAACAGAAGTGATAATTTCAGATCATGATAAATGTTAAGAAGAAAAAGAGCAAAGGGAGAGTAGCTACTCCAGATAGGAAGGTCTGAGTGGAGGGAGCTGGGGATGCAAGGTCTGAGGCAGTCTTGTTCACAGTGGTCATCTTGGCATTGGCACAGTACCTTGAATGTACCACATATCAAATAAATATTGGTTGGGTGAATGAAGGAGTGAGTCTGTGCCTCAGTAGCATACAGGAAAAGAACGTCTCCTCCCCAATGTGGAGTGGACTGTAGGGAGTAGTATAGCACTATTCTAACCTGTTCATTTTGTTCTGAGGAAACTAAGGGAAGACCCTTAGTTTAAGGAGATTAAGTAAATGATACCAGATTTTGCAGTGAGTTGGCGGTAGAGCCATTGCTTGATAAAAAAATATTCTTACCAGAGCATCATATTCTTTTCTTTTCATTTTCCAGTGGAAATCTCTCCCACTGTCAAAGTGCTCCTGTGATAAGAAACCCTAGAAATGTTCTTTAAGTAAAGAATAAGCCTCAGTGCCTAACAGTCACTGTTTCTCTTTACCTTTTTATTCCTATGTTTGCTTTCTTTCACAGTAAAGTGCTGGCCTTCATCTTCAAAGTAGCTTGCTACAACCTCCCTAAGTAATCTTCTTAGCACTGTGGATACCTGCAACACGTATCAAAAGCTTTCCTTTTCTCTCTGCATGGAGATGAAAAGCCCTACACTAGCTTTCCCCATGCACTTTACTTCTTTCCACCTTACTTCATGTGTCTTCTATTTTTCTTCCTCACTGCCTCTGTTCACCAGTAATTATGCACTAAGTACTGTGTTAGACATCAGGTACAACGTCTTTGTCCCTGAACTTAAAGAGCTCATGGTCTATGATCTGCATTAATAATGGATCATTGTTAAAACAACTGAGAAGCTCCAATGACTAAGAGATGCATAGTGTATGAGAAAGTGAAGAAAGGGCTGATGGAGTGGCTCAAGTGGTAAGGTACCTGCCTAGCAAATGTTAAGGCCCTGAGTTCAAACCTCAGTACAGAGGAGAAAAAAATAAAGAAGTGAGGAAAGCACCTAATACAGCCTGGGTAACCAAAGAACTCCCTACAGGAGATTATCCTAAATTACCCTTTGTAGGGTGAACAGAGTGCCAAAGCAGAGGGGCTTCCAAGCAGAGCAGACAGCAAGAGACAAGAAAGAGAAGTGAAACTATGCTTTCTATATTTGGCGCTACAGGAGCACAGGTGGGAGATGAAGCTGGAGAGTCCCTCCAGGGGTGGGATCATACAGCCCCATAATGCCAATCTTGAAAGCTCTGAATGCTTTGTAGACAACATGGAGCCAATGGGGGCTTTGAAGCTGTATAGTGAAACTGTCAGTCCTGTGGTTTAGATAGACATCTTGTCTTGTAAAGGAACTGTGGGTAAAAAGAGAGGCAGGGAGACTAGATAACGTAGGGGTAGGAGTGATGGAAGAGAGAAAAGAGGACAGGCTGGCTGGGGGAATGGCTCAAGCGGTAAAGTGCCTGCCTAGCAAGCATGAGGCCCTGAGTTCAAACTCCAGTACTGCAAAAAAAAAAAAAAAAAAAAAAGAGGAGAATATGGATTCCAGAAAATGAAGGAAACTGGTGTGACTTGGTCATGGAACACAGGGGTGCAGGAGCGGGGAGCAGTTTCTTACGTGGTTGACTGGTGGGATGACTGTGTCAGCAACAAGAGAGCATAAGTAAAAAGGATCAGAGGTACGAGGCCTGATATAAACTGTGGACTTGGAGGGCTGGAAATGTGGCTCAACAGGTTAGAACACCTGCCTTGCAAGCGTGAAGCCCTGAGTTTAAGCCCTAGTACCACAAAAAGCAAAGCAAAACAAACAAACAAAGACTCCAGAACAAAACTATGGACTCAGAGTGACAGTGCCATGCCAATGTAGGCTCACTGACTGTAACAAATGTGCTGCTCTGGTATGGGAGATTGTTAGTTGGGAGGCAGATGAAAGGAGATGCATTTCAGGCAAAGAGTCAGAGTGGAGTATGGAGCCATGAGTGTGCACCTCTGGGCTGCCGGGAAGTGGAAGGACAGCCCCAGAGAGCTCTTTATGGGTTTTGATTATCCCAGGACCAACAGAGCCTTTCTGGGTCATATTTCTTCCTCCCTGTCTTTTGGAGTGCAGGTGTGCTCACCCTTTGGATATTCCTGATTGTTATATAAACCACATAGTATGTTCTTTTAGCCAAGCAGTTGTATGCATATACACATGCTAAATGTTTCATTTGTCTCTAAGAGGGAAGCAGAATGTGATCCAAGTGTGTCCACAGGCTGTACTGGGGCTCTGAAATCTGAACTACCACAGTGGGTCTTAGCCAGGACACTGTGTCAGAATTATCTTGGGAGACTTTTAAACACCCCAGTTTACCCTACCCTCTTCTCCCAAGCAAGGGACTACTCTCCCCAGGGTATATGATGCACCAGGACCTATGCATGTGTGTTTTCCAAAATTCCACAGGTGATGTGAGAACTTGTGCCCATAGAAGTTTGCCTGTGTCCTATATGGTACTTCCTAGGTACTTTGGTTTGAAAGTGTCCCCAAAAGCTTATATATTGGAAACTTAACCCCCCAACTCATATGCTGGTAGTATTTGGAAGTGGGGCCTTTAAGAGGGAACTGGATTAGATGAGGTCACGAAGGTAAGGCCCCCAGAGGGTTCTCACCTCAATATTAGAAGAGATGCCTGGCTAGCCTCTTGCTGTCTCTACCATGCAATGTAGGATGCAGCAAAAAGGCCCTAACCACGTACTGACACTATATTCTTGTATTTCCCAGGCTCCAGAAACATGAACCAAACTTCTATTATGTATAAATTACCCATGACAGCAGAAAACAGAGCAAGACACCAGGTATTCTCTGATGGTACCACCACCTGACATCATATTATTTATTTAGTTGTTGATTTAATTATCAATTTTCCTCCAGTAGATTGTAAGTGTCCTGAAAGGGAAAACTTCATTTGGCTCACTTTTTTATTCCCAATACCTAAGACAATGTCTGGAATGAAATACTCACTAACAAATACATGTATGGTTGAATGAACTTATTCTACCTGCTAATGACTGTTACTTAACAGGAAATGTCCCTTAATTAATTAATTTATTTTGGTGCTACTGGGGCTTGAACTCAAGGCCTTGCACTTGCTGGCAAGCAACTTACCACTTGAGCCATGCCCCCAATCCTATTATTACTATTATTATAGTATTGGGGATTGCCAGGCACAGGTGGCTCACACCTGTAATCCTAGCTACTCAGGGGGATCATGGTTTGAACCCAGCCTGGGCAAATAGTTTGTGAGACCATATCTCGAAAATACCCATCACAAAAAGGGCTGGTGGAGTGGCTCAAGGTGAAGGCTCTGAGTTCAAGCCCCAGTAACTCAAAAAAAGAAAAAAAAGAATTGAGGATTGCATTTAGGTTGTGTGCTTGCTAGACAAGCAGGCTACCACTTGAGCTGTGTGCCCAGACCACCCCTCAGCTTTGTATGTAATAATTCTCTTTTGACCTTTCAAATAAGCAGAAACCAAATATCAAATTAAAACGTATAAAATCGACCTACCTTAGCATAGTCCAATCTTCCTTTCTCTTGAGCCTAAAATTGAAGAGAGGAGAAAATTAATACTTTAGTTCTTTTTTTTTTTTTTTTGGTACTGGGGCTTGAACTCAGGGCCCACACCTTGAGCCACTCCACCAGTCCTATTTTTGTGAAGGGTTTTTCGAGATAAGGTCTCATAGAACTACTTGGGCTGGCTTTAAACTCTGATCCTCCTGATCTCTGCCTCCTGAGTAGTTAGGATTACAGGCGTGAGCTACTGCTGCTCAGCAATATTTTAGTTTTTTAATTAACTTTTGCTTTTCAAAGAATAGAACACAACTCTCTCCCCCTCATAACCAGATTTTCCAATCTAAATCTAAGCAAACTTCCTCAAACCCAAATTTCAGTTTATAAACAAAACAGGAAAAATCTCAATGAAGATAAGACAAATTTTAAGAGACTTTTTAAAAACAGTTGTGATGTCCTAAAAAGCCAGCGGACAGCTAAAATGGAGTCCTTAGCTGATCCCTTACAAGTAATTTTAACTCACATTAACCCTGCCATATTCTCATTTGCTCACACACTTTCTATTCATGAATAGATGAAGGAAAGGAATCTGGCTTTCAATATTAGAATATAACTTCAAAGAATGCATGAAAATTGAATAACGAAAGGATTGAACAGCTTTACTGTAGTTAAGTGCTTCTACCTTGAAAGCAGTGTGTTGAAGAAGTAAAGATAGCCTGGGAACTAGGAGACTCCAGAAAAACTTCAAGATGTATACCTCAAAGCAAGGAAAGCAAGTGGCCTAGGATCTTAACTGTGACCATTCCAAGAGTCACTGTGACCTGGGAAGATGAGCACATTGGGAACCAGAAAATGTGGCTTCTAGGCCTTAACTGGATTTTTATATATGCCTCTATTTCCTTGTTTATAAAGGAAGAGTACTAGACCAGATGAGAAGTTCGCACATGCTAGGCTCTCTCAGATGCTGGGCTGGCTGTCTTGGAATCACCTTGCTAACTTGTGAAAAATGCAGATTCTCAATATTCTACCTATGAGATTCGGACTTGTTTGAGGATCACTGGTCTGGTGTATGTTTAATGTCCTTTCCAATTTATGCTTCTATGTGCATTAGTTTTCACTTTAAAGGCTACGAAAGAACAACTATATAAACTCTGTAAGTCTCAAGGAGAATGAAATACTGTAGTTCCCCTCCCCCTTTTCTGACATCTGCCACGTATCATGTGTATTTCTAGCGGGGCAAGATATTATTAAAATAACTTTCTCACTGGGGTCAAAATAAGCTGATATAAAATAAATGTAGACTGTATTTCAATAGGTACAGTTCTGAACCTCTTCTTGCCACACTGTTCATCTCCAGAAGCTACTGTAAATCCTGCCATACAAGGCAATTCCCTGGGGGCTTCATTACGAGGTCTTTAAAAGAGATTCACTCATCTTTTTGCCTCCTGTAGGTGTGCTTCTTGTCAATCCAGGTCATGAGAAAAGAAAGTAATTTTTCCCAGTCTTTAGTAGTTCACAGAGAATGTATGGTTTGAACCTTGTTTTATCTTTTAAAAATGTGAAAATAGACAAGAGAGTGCACCAGTGCTCATGACACTGGAGGCCTCCTCAGACAGCTATGGTGAGCGCTGTAAAACAATATTCCGTACAAAAGCAAAGAAAGGCCAGCACTCTGATTGAGAGGATGCTCAAAGGGATTAATTCCAAAGGTTTATACACCGGTCTCTGCAGACCAAAGGCAGACAGATTCCCTGTTGGTAAGTAATGGATGTACAATGTGGTCTTTTACTTTAAGAAACAAATGCTTTTTTATAAGTCAGGTAACAAAGAAGGATTGGATGACATAAATGAACTGTTTCCAATTTCCAGCTACTGTTATCTGGACTTGAAAGCTGGATATGGGAACAGTATTTTCTAAATGTAGGAAACTAATATTTCACAGCAGGGAGCCCGGAAATTGCTAAAGACTGATCATTTCTACTTACCAGGTTATTCTTCCCAAATGTAACCAGCTACATTTGGGAAGAATAACCCAAAACATAAAAAAAAGTTTTTCCAAAACTTTTTCCAGTTTTGGAAAAAGTCATTTTAAAAGGTTTCGGGTTTTAAACCTTCAAGGAAAACTATTGCCCCCTTCCTTAAATTTCTTCCTGACTCCCTCCCTCCCTCCCCCACTTCCTCCTTTCCTTGTGACGAGGATCCAACCCAGGCCTCTTGCATGTGCTCTACCCATGAGCTACATCCCCAGCAACTTTTTAGTTGAAAGAACACAATGAGCATCAGTTGCTAACATCTAACCACCTCTGAGGGTTTTCTTTCTCTACATGACCATTGCTGCCTGAGATTCAGTTATAGACATCGTGACGATCATTTCTAACTACCTCAGTATTCATCTTCTAAGAACAAGAAGTTCTACATAACTACAAACCCATCTTCACAACAAGTTTGTCATTTATATTATTTAAATACAGTCTATATTCAAAATCTCCAAATTTAAGCAATAGTGTCCTTTAGACTTTTTTTTTTTTCTTTTGGTGGTACTGGAGTTTGTACTCAGGGCCTTTGGCTTGCTAGGTAGGTGCTCTACCACTTGAACTAGGGCCCCAGCCTGAAATCATCTTTTTTTTTTTTTGGCTGTAGTGAAGATTGAATTTAGGGCCTTGGGCTTGCTAGACAAATACTCTCTCACTTGAGCCACATCCACAGTTTATATCTATTTTAGTCCCACCCAAGATTGAATTAAAAGTCACAAACTAGGCTGGCAGAGTAGCTCAAGTGGTAGAGCACCTTCCTATCAAGTGTGAGGCCCTGAGTTAAAACCCAAGTACTACCAAAATAAAATAAAATTAACTTAAATAAAATTTTAAAGAATCATAGTGTGTTTGGATATCATTTTTTGAATCCCTTCTATTCTATAGCAGCCTTCATACCACTGCCTTTTTATTTTTCATAATATTGGCTTTTTTTTCATATTGGTATTTTTTGAGTCCAAGTCAGTTGCCATGAATAATGTCTGGTTTCCTGGGTTTGTCTCATTTTCTTCTTTCTCTTCTCTTTTTATTGATTGATTGATTGATTGATTGCGGTACTGGGGTTTGAACTCAGAGCTTACACCTGAGTCACTCCACCAGCCCTTTTTTGTGTTAGGTAGTTTTGAAATAGGGTCTCATGAACTATTTGCAAAGGCTGGCTTTGAACCGTGATCCTCCTGATCTCTGTCTCCTGAGTAGCTAGGATTACAGGTGTGAGCCACTGGCGCTTGGCTTTATTTATTTATTTTTGTGTACTGGAGCTTAAACTCAGGACCTCCACCTTGAGCCACTCCACCAGCCCTTTTTTGTAAAGAGTTTTATTGGGAAAACTATTTGCCCGCAGTAGGCTTTAACCATGATTCTCCTGATCTCTGCCTCCTGAGTAGCTAGGATTATAGGCATAAGACACTGGCACCTGGCTGTCTCATTGTTTTCTTTGATGAGACTCAGGTTAAACATTTTTGGCAAGACCACTACATAGGTGGTGCTGTGTCCTTCTCTTTCCATTACAGCAGGAGTCACCCAGTATCAGTCCATCCCATTCTTGCTAAAGCTAAGTTTTTCACTTCCCTATGGATTTACTAAGTAATTTGTAAGGTACTCTGAGTCCATGTAAATGTTCCGTTCCCCACTCACCATTCATCCAACTATTTTAACTGACCACCCACTGATGACCTTCGTTTGAACACAAGATTACATTGGTGGCTGAAAAAAGAATCATATTTTAAAGGTTCTTTACTGTGAAGTTGAAGGTGTGGCTCAAGGGGTACAGCAATGGCTTTGTAAGTTTGAGGCCCTGAGTTTAAACCTCAGTCCTCAAAAAAAAAAAAAAAAAAAGTGGGTCTGGCAGAAATATCATTGGTTCCTTTAGAGAACACAGGTCTTTCTAGAAATAAATTTTCTGTATTTGCCTTGGTATTTTTTAGTTTATATGTAAAAAGGAGGTTTTGGGGGAACAGAGAAAGGGAGGGAGGTTATTTCTACCTTTTTTCCAAAATGCTTTGGGTATTGTGTAAAGGGGAAAAGTAGTCATAAATCAGAAATCTACTAGATCTGCTAACCCTGAAGTTAGAGCAGCCCACTGAGTTTTGGCTTGGTGAAAGCAGGCCTTCTGTTGCCAGGCTCCCCATTTACAAAGCTGGAAAGGTACCAGAATATGAAGGAAAAGGCCAAGCTTTCTCCTTGCTGTCTTATTGTTTCCTAGTAATATAGCATGAAAAGCATCTGCAAAGAAGTGAACACCATGCAGAGCTGGATATTTGGGCTACCTGATTTTACCATCTCTTCACCTAGGGAAACTCATCAACTTTGGAGGGAAATGTGGAATCAAGTTTTTCATATTCTCTTCCTTTTGTTCACTAGGAAAAGAGGCAGCAACAGACCAATGCAGAAGGCTATGATGCCCAATTTAAAAAATTTTCCACAAAATAAACTTCTCAGTTCAGAGGTCTTATCTGGAATTAACATAAAATTAAAAGTTGCACAGTTTGATCAAGAAAACAATTTATCCAGAACTCAGGCCACAAACAACGAAATCAGGCTAAATAGAACTGTATGCATAGTTTCATCCAGTACTGAGGTCACAAGGCGATAGCCATCAACCTGGATGGGAGGTACATCAAGTTTACCTTTTGTTTTTTGTGGTATTGGGGTTTGAACTCAGGGCTTACACCTTGAGCCACTCCACCAGACTACTTTTTGTGATGGGTTTTCTCGAGATAGGGTCTTGAGAACTATTTGGCTTCAAATTACAATCCTCCTGATCGCTGCCTCTCAAGTAGAGAGGATTATAGGCGTGAGCTACCAGTACCCAGCTAATGTTAACATCTTGAAACATAACTTAGACTAGTTTTTCCACTTAAACTTCCTATTCCTGTTATTCATGTTCAAATTCCTGGTGTTGGCCTCTGACTGCCTCTCCCTAATCACACCTGTCCACTTTTCTCTATCATGTAAGTTTTCAGGTCCTATACATTTCTCTCTGAAATGAGTTTTACA